TTATTTTATTTATTTTACTTAACCAAGCAATCGAGCTATGTAAGTAAATATCATTAATTCTATTATTATATTTGATATGTAAAAAAATATTTACCAAAAAATAGTAATATTCTTCTATCTATTTATATATATATTGTATTGCGATTACACATTAGGGTTATACGGATCTCACATAAATATCTAACAGATTGCACAAAATCGAACGAGATCAACGAACAAACATTATGTACAAAATTTTATATTTTGGTTCAATATTATTAATATTATTATTACTTTATATATCAGTTGCTTCGGTACGATGTCATTTTTTATTCAAATAATCGAAATAAAAACGCAACTATATTGTAAATACTTTTTTTTATATTTTTTTATTTATACAATCGAGCTAATCGAACGTCTGAACTACATAAAAAATATAATTATTTTCTATTATTATATTTTATGTATATTTATTTCAATAAAAACTATAAACATATTAACTATATTAATGAAATGTTAAAATATTAATTTATAGTTTGATTAATTACAAATTCACCCATGAACTCAATTGTATTTATTGAAATTGTTGAATTATAATTAAGCCTCTAAATGTTATCAGATTTACAAAGAAAAGCCTCTTTCATTATTGGAAAAATCCGATTGTATCTAACCCCAACCGTCGCCGCCGCCCACGGCAACTTTACCAAGCAGCCATCGGACCTCCGGTTGACTGACGTCTATTCTTTGCCACAGCGACGGCGCAGACGCTGACACTGATCAAGTGCACATCCATCATGTCGGCTCGACGACCGAGGATGAGCCAACCGATATGGACGGTGGAAGAGGAGGAAGAAATGGACGACGGGAAAGAGGGTGTGCAACGGCGGAGGGTGAAATTTGTGACGGTAGCGGGTCTGTAGGCAGACAGACAGCCGGAGGAGATGGAGGATGGGGCAGAGCTGTTGGTTGTTACGGGATGTGGTCACGACGGGTTCAGTCAACGGAGGAAGCAATTTGTGACGGAGGTGGAGCTATGCGCGGAGGAGCTGTCGGGGCAGATTGCAGATTGCAACCACAAGGTCAAGTACAAAAATTCATTGCCATGTGAATTATATTTAGACACCCTACTACTCCATCGCCATGTGCATTATTCATATCCATTGCCACGTACAACAATCTGATCTTGCTAATGATTAGCAAAGCCAATTAGTAATTCAATCTGGCAAAGTACATTAACTCAAATTCACCAAGGAAGAGTTCTTCACAAAATTTGTAAATATGTACAGTTTAAAGTTTAAACAATTGAATTAAACTCATAAGCCAACAACAAAAATGAATACTCATTTACACTCGCTAAACCCAAATTGTGCCTGTAGAAGATAAAATCCATGGCTGCAAATTAACCCAAATGTAGTGAACATTAAGAATGATGAACATTCTGGTGTATTTTTAGAACTTTTAAAGACTTTTGAAAAGTTTACATGTATTCAATTGAAATTTTTAATGACTTTTAATAAGTCTCTAAAAGTCTCAGTATATTCAATTAAAACATTATGAGAGTCTTTATAAGTCACCCGGTATTCAAAACAGAAAGACTTTGTGAGACTTTTTAAATTTTGAGACTTTTAAAGACTTTTGTAATAAAATTACAAAGGAAAAGTCTCAACAGAAACCTCATCAATATTGGTGAGATTTTGTTGGACTTATGTGACTCTTTTCACGCTCTCTTTCTTTTTTTTTTCTTTCTAACACGATTTTGTATCTCATATCATTTTCATGCTTTATTATTTTATTTATTTATTTTTGATACCTTTTGTAACTAGTGTTGATACCCGTGCGATGCACAGGGTATATTATAAATTAATAATTTTTTATTCAAATATCATATAATTATTTAAGATAATATGCTAATTTTATCTGACACAATATATAAATTGCTTACATGTACTTATAAAATTACGGATTTTCTTGATTTTATAACTTTTTTTTTAATATTTCATATTTTGTATATTGCTCGATAACTAACTAAATTTTAACCCATAAAAATTATTTTCCCTTATTATGATTTCAGATGCATGAAATATTAATTTTTTATATTTATTTTACGTCTACATTCATTTCTTTGATTCTTTTTCATCATATATAATGAGTGTATTAATATCCAATTAAAATATTTAGATAAATTATGTATTTCAGTTATTACAAATGATATAATTTTTATTATGATATTTGACTATATTATCTTGTTTACTCCTTTTTCTTTATTACATAGTATATAATAATAAATATATTTTTTTACAACTTGAATCGTTTTTAGATGTATATAGATATTTTTAATGTGAAACTTATAATTCTTAAATTCACCTCACCATCAAATAATAATTTTATGAGTATATAAAATTTAATTTTTCATTAGCGCAGTCCGAATACAAATGATATATTCAATGAAGATGTTTTTTTAATGGTTACGTTGACTACATTTAGCAAATTTTATTAATAATATAAATTATTCATTAAGTTGATATGATTCAAATACAAATATTCCGATTATTTGTTATATATTTTAAGTGCTGAGGTGAACATAATTAAAAAAATATCTATCAATGATGAGATGATAATATAATTAATAAAATTAATTTTCATAATTATAATAAATAAATTTTTTAATTGTGTCAATAAATTACTACAAAATTCATGTATGATCAAATTGAAAATATATATATATAATCCATCAATATTCTATTTAAGCCAATTTATAACTACTGAATATAAAGGTTGATTTTATGCTAAATATTGATGAAATTATTTTCCTGCCCACTACAATGTCAATTATAGTAACAAAGATTTAGTCCATTATAAAAATTGATTTTTATTTTCATTACGTATATTAATGTGATCTTTTTATTTTATATATTCTTTATTATGCTCATTTTATGTGTGTATTCATTTATTCTCTCATTTTGCTATCTTGTGAATTTGACTTTTCAAAGGTTAATGTTTTCATAGTTGCACTTGCAAATAATTTATTTGTTCTTTCTTTTTATTTGTAAATGTTTATTTCAAAATATTAAAAAAATTATTTTATTTTCAAATAGTTTATTTGTTAATATTGAAATATTTTTGATTATTTCTCATTATTTTATAACATACAAATACTGTTTTCAGCAATGTTCGTATCTTGTAAAAATATATACTAATAATATTTTTCTAATATAACAACACTATGCAAAAAAATATAAAAAAATAAAATCAAGCAGTAATTAGATAAATATATCTTAATTTAGGTTGATTATAAGTGTCGTTATAGCAGAGATTGCTAACACATATTTGAGCTTGTACTCTTTTAACAAACAAATATAAGGCCCTGCTCGATTCGACTTGTTGAAACTCGGATCGATTTACTCGTTTAATAAATCTAAAATCATAAATATTTGTTTGTGAATAACTCATTTCGCATAAAAACGAATTTATTCATAAATTTTTAGAGGATTAATATATACAACATCTTTTTTTATTTATTTAACCTTGTTTATATTAGTTATTATGTTACGTTTTTAGTATTTTTATTCAAACATAATATTATAACTGCAAGTATATAAAGGTCTCAATAAGTTTTAAAAAGTTTATTATAAAAGTCTTAAAAAGTCACTAATGAAAATTCTCTGAAAGTCTTAAAAAGTCCACCAAAGTCATGAAAGTTCTACAAAGTCCACAAAAGTCATCAAATTTAAAAAGTTTTAAAAAGTCCTTAAAAATCTTATTGAATACACAATCAATTTAATCCCAACATCACTCATCGCTCCTTTATGTATAAATAACCAAACAAATGGGAACAATAAACAGAGAAAATTATCAGAATTATCAATAGCAACAACTCTAAGCATCTAAAAATGGACTATTTGGAGCAATTCAATTGCTCTATCAAGAAAAAAAAAAACAAAAAAACAAAAAATAAAGACAGACAGGCGTGGCTATTGGTTGTGATGGTTTGTGGTTTCGGCGGGTTCATCGACGGCGGCAACGGAACCAGCAGTGGTGGTCTTCTAAGATTTCGGGTGGTGGCGAGAGGCATGCTGGTGGCTGGCGGCGGTGGTGGTCCGGTGGCGGCGGAGACTTGTTGTGTGTGTGTGTGTGTTTGCAGATCTTAAATCGATTTGTGAGGTGTTGTGATGAAAATAAAATAAATATTTAATTAGTAGGTGGGTCCCACGTAAAAAAAATTATGTATTGATCAATTTACCCTTAATTATTGGTCAAATGCACATATTTGACCACACTATATTCAAATAATTATCAGATTGTCATTAATGATTGACTATAATTTAACTTCATCTAACCACTGATATGTTGGATCCAATGGTACACAAAATGGATAAGAATGTGAGTGAATATTTAAGTAGAAAGATGTTTAGGATGATGTTAGCATTAGGTTAGGTGGATGAGAGTGTAAATTGTAACAGAAAAAATGGATAGTAGAAACCCAATACCTATGTTCTAACACCCAAAAAAACAAATGAAGGAAAAAGAAAAGATTGACTTTCTAATCGCTATAAAAACCTAGTTACCACGGACGGCAAAGAACCATGAGATGACCTACAACTTACCATGGAGGGCAAAGAACCATCAAGAGAAGCCAGATATAACAAGATAAAGTAACAAAAATGGAAATGATAGTTGCTTAGCAAGTTTCATTGACAACTTCATCGGCAAAATAAGTGCACAATATGCACATTTCCAGGTGGTCCCATGTCCAAAATCAGCCCTACTTCCATACATTCAAGTTTAGTTTCTACAGTACCCATTTAGACAATATTAGTAAGGCAACAGCACCTTATAATTCACCGTAATTGTCTCGGTTCAAATTGAGGGTAAGAGCGAACCACATCATCGATTTCCTCAATATGTCAACAAAAATGAGAGGAAACAGCAAAAAAGCAGCATTGACCATTCCTTATGATAAATAAGACAAAGCTACACATTCAAAACACCACACAAGAGCACAAAGATCAGCAGCACATATATTAGCTGCTCAGAGTTGAAAGCATGCCTCCAGCAGCAGTAGGGATGACGACCTCCCAGCCTGGTCCCTTTAGAGGCACAGCATTAATATTTTCATCCTTTTCTGATGACGAATTAACAGAAGGAACCAAATCAGAACGGTCGAGAACTCTGTCAAGGTCCGCATCACTAATATCTGTCTGAATCCATTTCTCCTCTTTATCATCTTCTTCACCGAGTAGAGCCAGCAACTCCTCTTCCTAAAAAACAGAAATAACATACATCAGTGTCAACTCATATCTCATTTATCGATGGCATTATATTTCTTTTCCTCATATACAACATAGATTGAGGAAGAATTGATTTTTGAACTATGTATACATGTAATGTGGCACTAACCGTCATGGTGTCTATGCCATCAGCTTTGGATCTTTCCTGCTTAAATTGACCTTTGCCAATCACAACATGTTCGAGCTTCAATTTGCTGAAAGCTCTTTTCAGTATCCGACCCTACAAGTTAAAGACATAAATATGTAAGATTTAGAAAACATGTATGCTGTGTCTTCATCCGTAGGAAGAGCCAAATGTGTCATTTGTGGGGGCACCTCAACAGATTGAGCAGTAGCTAGTCTGTACACATGAACAGGTTTTGTTTGACCAATTCTGTGACACCGATCCATTGCCTGTAGATCCATCTGAGGATTCTGGAAATCCAGATTTAACCTTATCAATTTTCTATATATAGAAAATAGCAACTCTTCACTTGTGTGAAAAAGAGAGGGAGAGAAGGAATAAGATACCCAATCACTGTCGTACAGAATGCATGTATCGGCTGCAGTAAGATTAATTCCAAGCCCACCAGCTCGGGTGCTCAGGAGAAAGATCCTATAGTTACTGTTTGCATCATTGAATTCCTTAATCTGTTATATTTCCACCACATAGTATAAAGGACAGTTAAATTTGCAATGTTCGTCAGACAAATAGCTAATCACATCACACAGCATAAGGTCCTATAGAATACTTATTGACATGGCCACATGGTAAATGAGATGCTCATTATAGACACTTATACTCCCGTGGACATAGCCATTTTTCATTTTTATCTTTTTACATATCCTATCAGTATCTGCTAGAGAGAGTACACACAAAAATAAAAAGTCATATAACGTGTAAACTATAAGGTAAGGGGAGTCGACAAAAGTGAGGAGACACAAGGCAACTGTGATACACATGATAACCCAGAAGTTTTGATCAACCTTTCATCTTCATTTGAATGATGACTCCTTTATACAAATGATAAAGAGTTCCCTCAGATCATTTATAAAATAGTTATTAACCTCCATTTAGTATGGAGGTGGTAACTTTCAGGTTACAGAAACTAGTATATTCTTAACCAGGGTATAACGTGAAGCAAACAATCTTTTCAGAATATTGCTGGAAACAAAAACAGAGGACGGGGACAGTTGATTTCAAATGTTCTCAAAATAAATGGAAGAACTTAAATTAATCAACTAACATAATAAAAGTTCATTTTGTCGGTCAGATGAAACGAAAAATATCATTAGGAAATTTGGGAAAGTAAATGTGTTAGAGAGATAGGGGAATTATGATTGGTAGTTGGAAAGATGTGAGTAGTTGAATACAAATTTTATAGAGATGCATGGTCATGATTGGTTTTTATTTAAAATTGTTTTGATAAAATTAAGGTGTGAAGAAGTGAGGAGTGAATATTGTATTTTTTGTTTAGTAAATGATTTTTTTTTATTTTTTTTTTTTTTT